TAATCACATTTATCACTGCGCACGATTTCTATTACACAATGATTTATTCCCAATCTTGTCAATCCAAATCCCAATTTTTGTATATTTTTGCAATAACCTACTAGTTGTATTTCTTCATATATACTCAGGATAGTTTCAGAACCAAGATGTTTGAACAAATTATTATTTTTAACTGCACATCTAAGAGTTGCCTCTGCAATATTAAATCTTTGAGCAATTGCACATACACTAGAATGTTCAGGGTTAATAAGTATGTTGAGTGCATTTTGAATAGCATTTAGATAACTTGTTTGATCAAATTTTTTGATGTAGTCTTAGTTTTGGATTTATTATTTTTATTTTTTGCTTTCACAGGTTTATCATCTTTGGTTTTTATAGAGGTTTTAGCTAACATTTCTTAATCAATGATTAGATGATTTTTTATTTATTAAAATTATGTAAAAAAATAATCAATCAAACTTTATACTGTAAATTTTGAATTATTTATAGAAAAGTTGTAAATAAACTAAGTCATGAAAATATAAAAGTTGTAAATAAACTAGTCGCGAAAATATAAATTTGATAGTAAATATTACATAATGCACAGCGTGATAATAATTAATTGAATAAAAATTTACTATTATTTGTTAATAATAATTTTACATGACATGCAACATGATACAAAATGTGGATATCAATTTTTTGAAGTATAATATCAGTGAACTATAAAACTTTAATAAATTTAAATAATAATAGTATTTATTACACAACATGATATAATATTACGAAACAAAAGTTCAATTTAATTAATCAGTCAATTAAAAAAAATTACTTTAATAATGATATCTTGTAATTCAATTATTAGAATCAGATGATTTATGTACCATATGATTCATCTTGGTGAGACAAATTGAATGGTACAAAAATTATTTAATTTCAGTTGCTTTATTAAGCAATATTTTTAAAATTTTTTGCTGCATCACATTATCCACCCATGTCATAATATCTCTCTTTACCTTATGTATTTAATTTTTCTTTGTATTATCTTGTGTTATATTAAATTTATTTTATATTTAATTAGTTTTATTATATAATAACAAAGGAATACTAATAGTATTTAGTATTTTAGTATGTGTTAATACTAGATTTAAATGTGCAACACTTAGCAAATTGGAGCAACATTGTGTGTTACTAGTGATATATGAGAATATATTAGATTTTAATTCTTTTTGAGATAGAAATAAATATTATTGTATAACAAACTTTTCTTGTTTAAATTTGTGAACATGAAAATAATTTTCAGTTGATTGTTCAATAAAAGTATAAAGAGTATTCATATAATAATCAAATGAAATAATTTTAACTAAAATAATATTGTAAAAATAAAGAGAGATATAATTTCATAAAGGAAGTACCAAAATGTTTTCATTAATTCAAAAATTGTTAAAATTGATGAACTAATTAAGTAATATAATATTAAAAGGACAAAAACTGAATGAATTACAATTAATGAGATTCACTAAAGATTCTAAAGATTTTTTTATAGTAACTTGTATACAAACTAACTAATTATTATCAATAAAGTATAAAAATAAATAGAAAAATAAAGTAAAAATTAAAGAAATTAACAAATAATTACAAAGTGAATAACAGGACTTATTGATAATACCTAATAAAATAAAATAACAATTGGACTTATTAAGAGTATTAATTATAAAATATAAATAAAAATAATTAAAAATAATCAAACAAAACTTATTGAAATTACCTAAAAATAATAAAACTAAAATAAATAAAAGTAATAATGTCAATGATTTATTTAGAGTGAAGGAGTATCCACTACTTATAATTCCAAAATTTGAAATAATTCACAAAAATAATAGTGTATTTGCAAGTAAAATATTACTAATAAGAACTTTGTTATTTATTAAATAAAAGGATTAAAGCATAAGAGTTTTTAGCAATAAGAGACTCTTCTTTTATACATTTTCAATCTTTTATATGATTTATATAACTAATAATTATTCTAAACTATATCACAATTTACAAACAATATTAACAATACCAAAGGAATATAAATATCAAAAAAGAAATGAAAAATTATACAAATTTATTTAACAAAAAAATATAAAAGAAAATTAGTTGTAATTTTAGTGGTTAAAGATAAGAAAAAACAAGAGTTTAAGTAAAAAGAAGTGTTATAAAGAAAGAAAATAATAATACAAATATGATTATAAATAATTATAACAAAGAAGTTAAGAGATAAAAAGAATAATTATAATAAGAATGAAATATAAAATAAAATAATATAAGAATAGTTGGTTAAAAATAATAAAATTAAAGATAAAAATAAATGTGATAAAGGTATAAATGAGATAAACCAATAAAAAGAATATAAGTTTTATAGTGAAAAATACAAAAATAAATAAATTTAGTGAAACAGTAAAAGAAAATAAAACAAAAAATATGATTATTATTTAGATATTATTATTTAGATATTATGATTTAGATACCAAAAAGATAATGATATATATGAAATATAATCATATAATAAAATACAATATAAAAATAAAGAGACAAATTAATTTGATCATCATTGAGTTGTATGAGATTACATTAATATTCTTTGTAATACATCTTAATTTTTGTTGACCAAAAATTAAGTAATTATGAAATTTTTGATGAGAATAATAATATTAAATTCAAATTTTTGAACTGGTATTATGATCAGACTTGAATATTATCATAATGTAAATATTCAATTAATATCTAACTCAGTTTCTCTTTATACAGTTGTGGCCAAAAGTATCTGACCCCCCTAACTTTCTGTAAATCATGTGTAATGCACAAAATTTTTCCAAGCACAAAGAACATTACAAATGCTGATCATAGATACTTTTTTATAGGTTGGTAGAGCTTTTATATTGGATATTGTATATTCATATATTTCATGCCCAAATACAATAAATCAGTCACTTTATGACATAATATTTCAACATCTAGTGATTAAATTTGAATAAAAATATCACCATCTGATTTATCTAATTTAGGCAAATCGAATGGTGATATTTTCACTCAAATTTAATCACTAGATGTTGAGATATTATGTCCTAAAGTGACCGATTCATATTTAGCGATCAATTTTTTATTAGAAATGATCACCAAAAAAATGAATCGGTCAATTTAGGATATACGTAATATTTTTATCTTCAGTGATCCGATTTGCATTGACTAGAAAAATCGAATGGTATTATTTTTGTTCGAATCAGATCATTGGAGACCAAGATATCACATTCTAAATTGGCTGCTGATTAATTTTTGTTAATGTCAAAAAAAATGAAGCTGCTACTTTAAGACGCAATATTTCGATGTCCAGTGATTTGATTTGAACAAAAATACTACTATTTGATTCGTCTAATCGAGATGAATCGAATAGTAGTATTTTTTGTTCAAATCGGATCACTGAATGTCAAGAATTAGATTATTGAATATTGAGATGTATATTATAAAATAACTGATTATATTTGTTATGTGAAAGTTTATGAGCATACAATATCCGATATAGAAGCTCTATCAACCTATAAAAAGTATCAATGATCAGCATTTGTAATGTTCTTTGTGCTCAGAAAAATTTGATACATTACACATAATTTATAGAAAGTTAAGGAGGATCAGATACTTTTGGTCACGACTGTATTGTATTCAATCTCAATGATTTCAGTTATTCTGGGATCACTGTGCTATGTGTTTTCTTCTATCTTTGAGACTATCATTATTATCAATAGATTATGATGTCCACTCAGTATGGAACAGTTCTAAAACAATATAATACTGATATTCTTTAGTAACTTTGATTAATATCCAATAATATGCAATTAATGCAAATATTATAGTATGAGTTTATTTATTAAAATTAATTAATATACAATATTTTATTAATAATAAACAAGAAACAATTTATTGACTAGCTAGATTTTGTAATGATCAATTAATGATTTATTTGAGAAATAAAACTCTTTATTATATAGCTAATTATTTTATCATATATGTTATATCTTATTACAATATGTTGCAAAATATTATAATATGTTGCAGAATAATATCACATGTTACTGAATATTATAATATATGACAAAATGTCATGTGAATTTTGTCATGTAAAAATAATAAAATAATAAATTATTATAATAATAATAATAATAATAATAATAATAATAATAATAATAATAATAATAATATATTTTTGATTTGTAACACCAGATTTTTGGTTAGATTTGAGTCTGGTTCAAGCTCAAACTGAATCAAACTTTTTTTTGGAATTCTAATCAGAAGTATCTGTTCTTATCACATAACTAAATTTGAAACTGATCAAATTATTATTTTTATTAATAATAATAATTAATTTTAAAAGAATTCAGCTTTATTAAAACTTAATCAATTAACAAATAATTTTTGTAACTTTATTTTTCTTATTTTTCTGTATCTCTTTATATTAAAAAATATTTCCTAATTATTTTAATTCTTTGTATGAAAAACTTTAAAAATTGCATTTATTTTTGTTAATTATAAATATTATGCACTATAATTATGGTTAATGTCAGAATCACATAATTCATTACTTGGGATAATTCACGAAATAAATACAATCAAACCCTTTATAGTCACCATCCTTGGGAAAGCAAAATTTGGTGACTATAGAGGGTTTTTTTTTACTATGTTTATATGTAATTTAAAAAGCAAACTAAGATGATTATAAAGGGATGTGACTAATATAAGAATGCGATTTTTCGTGATCGCAATTTATGTAACCTGGCACAGTACTGTAAAATGTATAAATTAGGTACCCAAGTAATGATGTATCCGATGTGACGTTGAGACGCAGCGGCAGGAAAATTTCCGATCATTGTTCTATCAATTCCGATTATTATGACTCATTTTGAAACTTAATGTTATAAATACGGGAAATTTTCGTAGAATTTGGTCAATCGTTTTATTTCTGATAAATATCAAGAACAACAAACATGTTTCGTCCCGCTATCCGAACTAGTATTTTAATACTAAAGCGTGATTTAACGTCAAGTTTACAATACATTCAAAAGCCTAATTCATTGATATTCATCAAATCAACCTCGGCTCGATTAATTTCCACAACAGATTCATCAAAGTCCACTGTAACGATTAATAGGAACACCACTAATACAGCTAATAGTTCCGCCACCTTCATTCAACACAATCTCAACAATGAAGAACTTTTAAGGGATATTCCTTCGCCGTTATTACGAATTCCACATCCTAAGCCGATTCGTAATGAAATTATCGACGCGAAAACACCATTGACTACCAAAGATTTGGAAAGCATTGATATAAAAATAAATTTACATCGAGTGCCGGTTACAATTCCGGATAAAATTGCATTTAATATAGTTAAAATGCTACGAATTCCAACTGACTTGTTCTTCAAAAAAAAGTATATTCATCGAAGTGTTATGCTGGAAACGGTAAGTTTTATCTAACTCTCTTAACGCGAATTACGAATTAACTATAAAATGGATATTAGTAAAACCCTGAATTATTGTATATAGGTTGCCGCTGTTCCTGGAATGGTTGCTGCGACTGTAAGGCATCTTCGATCTCTTCGGAAGATGCAACATGACGGTGGTTGGATTGAACATTTACTTCACGAAGCAGAAAATGAACGGTAATAAAAATATTAAATTTAGTCGAAAACTTTATTTTTTCTCTCGATTAATTATTCTTTACTTATTGAAAATAGCATGCATTTATTGACATGGATGCGATTTTCACAGCCAAATATTTGGGAACGAGCTTTAGTTGTTGTGGTGCAAGGAATTTGGTATAATGTCTTTTTCGCTTTATATTTGATTTCGCCAAGAGTTGCACACCGTATTGCGGGTTATCTTGAAGAAGAAGCGATTATTAGTTATACTACTTTCTTGAATGGTCTGTATTATTAGTTAATAGCATTGTCTCTTAATAATTTAATAGACTGCTAATGTCATCATAATTGGACGTTATAGAAATCGATAATGGCAATATTTCAAATATCAAAGAAGTCCCTGACATTGCTATCGATTACTGGAACCTCGACAGAGAGACCGCCACGTTACGCGATGTAGTTATGGCTATCAGAGCTGATGAGGCGGCCCATAGGTAAACAATTTTTTGAATCTTTGTTATATCATTCTTCTAGAATCGTTCATTTCTTTAATACCTCTACTATCATAAATAGGGATTCAAATCACCACTTTTCAGATCGAATCATTTTGAAAAAAGAAGACCTGAGAGAAGATATTCGACGAATTTTCGCAGAAGCTAAAAGTCATACGGCTAGAAAAATTGCTGGTTTAAATGAATCCGCAGCTGATAAATGGGAGCGGAAGCTTGATTAAAAAAGAATTACTGCTTTGATTAAATTACTATTACTTTTTCTTTGTGAATAATTTCAAATTTTAACATTGTCACTCCCTCCTCCACATTTTACACATATTATGCACACTCCTTTTTATCTAGTAGTTATAGCTAGTATTTAACAAATTATAACGAGCGCAAGTTTTAAATTAATAATAGTTTAGAGCAAAATCAAATATAATAAATATTGCTACAATTATCAAATAAGGAAATCTACATTTTGTAGTCCAGTATTTCGATATTAAAAACACATCTAAATATTTCCGAACTTGAATTGCTTTAATCAATAATTCATAAATTGACGGTGAAAACATTATAAGTTGTCATTTTCATTTTATATGTAAAATTTTGTTCCGTTTTCTATTTTATTATTGGCAAACAAAAAAAAGATTATTTTGATTTAAGCATGCGTTTCCTGTATTTTTCACATTTTTCATTTTCTGTGTCAGATTTGTTTTGCCGGATTGATAAAAAATTTGCGCATTCTTATTGGTTTGTACCATCCAGCATTTATCCCAGATTTATTAATCTGTCACAATAATTCTCCATGGCCAAATCGTAAAACTTCAACCTATAATCAGATTTCTGCAATTTTGGAACTATTTGATTCTTTTAACCAAGGTGAACATTTGATACCTGGATTATGCTTTGCAGAAGATAAAGTTTGATCACATATTGGTAATCAAAATTTGTATAAGAAAATTAATTATTTTTATGTCAATTCAATTGCTATAAAAATTGACAATTAATAATAATAGCAAAGATATTCCAGAATCCAGTTTAATATTTGAGTATGACTCCTGCAAAAAGTGTTTAACCAACAAATTCAAAATTACTGCAATGAATATTCATATTATAATACTTATTATTGAAGTATAATCAAACTTTTTTATAATTATTTCATTTATAGTAGATGACTAAAGTCTAATAAACATGTAATGTATATTAATACAAAGAATAAATCAAAAAAAACAATTTACTACATCCAATAAAAAGTAAAGAATCTTTTGAAAAGATTGATATTGTTATCGTTTTGAGCTTTTGCATATGAAAGTATTTCAAAATGGCAATAGTGACTGTGTTCACTGCAATTTACTTTAGATTTTTTAACTAAAAGGTATTTATGACAATAAAATGATGTTTCTTGACAAGATAAAAGATGACGAATATAAGACTGAACTAATAACAAAACTAAATTAAAGATAAACTTAACCAATAACTACTTAAAATTCCAAAATAAATCAATTTAACATGTCAAACTTGATATTAAACCAAAAGAAACTTCAAATAGAAACTAGAATACTTAAACTCAACTAAAGAACTTAAAACCAAAACTGAAAAACTTTTCATAATATTAATATGTATTTTTATTCTTTTTATTTAAACTTTATTTTCAATAAAAAAAGATTGTGAT